TCCTCAACCTAATTACTTTTTATGTGGCTATTTGAATTGAAATTAGCAACCGTAAACTATAACGCACGAGATGGCTTTAAAGTAATGTAGGCAAAATTGATTTGTAGGGCCCCTCAAGATATCTATGTAATTGTGACGGAAGTGATCAAAAAACATTAAATGAAATAATATTATATTTGTTTTAATGTGCATAAATTGCATAAAGTTAGAGCGACATGAACTTCTGCTGCGCAGAATACGACAGCTAATCGAGGGAAACTAAAGATTATGTTGGCGGAATTTAACGAAAATGGATATTCATCCTCCTGTTGGTGGAATTTAACGAAAAACTTTAAAGTCAGGCAACCGAACATTTAAAAATAGTTTTTTATTATAAGTCGACGTGATTTTTGGGGCCTCTAAAATCAGTCTTGCCGTAATATATGCAGCATTTGGAGGGTTCACTTTCACATGTTCTGTTCAACGGCTTACAGGTCAGTTCTTGCTTTGTATGCATGCATGCACTTCAACAGGCCACTGACCAGCATTTTCTCTCTGTGCTATTTGGCTAGCGGCCTTTCGTAACTGCAAACAATACGCTTTCACGAATAACCAGATCATAAATGTCTAACACTAAGGCACGCAGCATCAACTCACGTACTCTAGAGTTTGCCGGTGATTTAAAGTCTCCTCAGTCCCTTTCTTCCCATTAATGCATAACAAAACCAGTGATATTTATTCTGTTGGACATCGAACGATCTCATCTTCACATGCGCCTACTTTACAGTGTGGGACTCTGGCCAGCGTTAACATCAAATGACATCATCTGCGCTAGCCTTCTAATACTTGCTAGTTAACTTATATGTTTAAGATTCTCATTTTATTAGATATAATCAGAAAACGCCACACACAATTACAGTGAGTCTTCTCAAACGTTGAGCTCTATCTGGTTTCGGTCTCATTCTTAAAGATAAAGCACATTTATATTTCCGCACCAAATATAGCTCGTAGTTTTAATTATGTCCCCTGGTGTCATTATTTTTGTCATAAGTGCTTTCAGACTTTAGTGATTCCTTCTGCAAATACACAATACGCGCCAGATACGAAATTGAAGTACCAATACCGACTAATAAAATAGAACAGTCTTGACCCGTGATTTCAATGCAGTGAACATATCCTCAGACAAAAACATACATGTAACCTCTGGTTTTCATGACACAACTCTTGGCATATATATGATGAGTTAAAATAGAAACAAATTACGACGGTCACGAATACACCAAGCTACTTCTTACTCCTGCAACATATAGCGTTTTGATACTCTTCATCCTAGTTATGGTTTTCCAAAACCGTCATCCCCTAAAAAAACGTTTAATTAAAAGTTTGGCAAAAGAGAAAATCAGAAAATCACGGCACCACTAATGGTCAGCTCGAGTGTTTTGACCTCATACTTCTAAGAGCATTCTGCATACCCAACCTATTCTCTTTCTTCATGTGCAAACCTGAAGTTGTGTCATCAGTGCCCCGCGCTGCATGTGTGTTACCATAGAAACTTGCATAAACCAATGAACGCTCTAACTGTAAATTTACAAAAACCAATGACAAATGGGCCAAAATGTATTGGCAGCATAGCACTATTTTCTAGAAGGCAATGACTTGGTGAAAGCGAACCACTTCGAAAAATAGGTGCACCAAGAAAATAATAAGGTATACCGGCTAAACTCCAAAATGAAGACCAAAGATGGGCCTCGTGGACCGGGCTTGGTTTTCCTTGAAAATGTAAAGGTTAAAAAGAATCAATCTTTGGAGGAGATTGTTAAGCGAGAAAGTGAGAAGCCAAGACAAACGTCGCACTCTGAATTCTCTGCTAATATAACCAAGGACAGGATCGAATTCAGTGCCGGTAAAAGCCGGAAGAAGGTGCCAATCAACGAGATTCTGTATGAACACATTGAACGCATCCTGCCTGAAGAGCGGAAGCTGCGGGTTGTCCTCGGCTGCATGACCGGTAGACGCCGTAATGTCTGCTCCTTTCAATTCGCAGATTATGGAGCCTACAACACCTTCATGTATTACCTGTATGAGGCCCGGGGATGGCTAATTGAATCAGAGGGGAACGCTTTCTCAGCATCTTCATTCACACCAAAGTCACCTGAAACCGATACATCCATTCAATACTCCATTCAGTCGCCAGGCCTTCCAGTAAGGA